CCGAAATGAATTACATATTCTTGTTTTTGTTTTTGTTAATAATAATACTAAATTATTTAAGATTTTTTTTCTAATTGTGTTTATTGTTAATTTCATTTTTTGTTAAATACTGATATTTAAGAGCTTGTTGCCTACTAAATATTAGTTGGGTGAGTTATTTTTTGGGGCTCACTTTTCACACTAATACTATTTGAAAAACTCGACAAACAGATTTGTAAAATTTGTAAATATTTGCAATACCCCATGGAGCCGTTCTAGAATTTTTCATTTAACAAATTTTAGCTGAAATTCAATTTTAGAATTTTTTACATTTTGGCGTTGTGTTTTATTGTTTTCTCAWATATWTTAACATATATTTTTWTATTTATATTCGCTAAGGTTCAAGCAACCCTGGCCACAGGTCCTACACCTGCTCCTGCTCCTGCGCTTTCAATAGAACTAGAGCTGAAGAAAGAGTTGAGTGTGTAAAAATGCGCATGCATGCTTCTCCGGGTTGGGTTTGGTTGTAAAATGGATATGTTTTGAGCAGTTCTTGTGATGTCTGCTGGTTAACTAGTGTGTGGGTTCAATTACTATATCGTTTAACTGCTGGCGTGTGTAAATTTGTCTAAAAAACATTTTCGCATACGCTTATGAAGCCAAATCCAAAGCTGAGCGGGACTCAGGTGGCCAGGGTCTTGCACAAGAAATGTTAATACTAAATAACTAACAACGTTTAAAGCATAAGTATTTGTATATATGTACATATATATAGATATACATACATACAGTATTTAGCATAATATAATATGTATATAGTCGTATATATACGTATATATATATATATATATATTGCAACAAATTTTCACTACAAAAACTGCACACACACAACTTAGGGGCTAGCTTATAAATTATTATCATTAATATTATTCTGTATAAGGATAGGGCGATTAACTGAGCAGTTGGGCTAGCTGCTTACGCTTATTCCCTGCTAAAGCAATTGGTGTTGCTGCTGCTGCTGCTGTTGTTTGTTGTTGTTGTTGTTGTGGTTGCTGTTATTCGTATATGCTCGACATCGGTGTATTAAGTTAAGCCAACTTTGTGTACTAGATATATAGTTGCAGTTGGTGTAAAAATTGTATTTGCCATTAGCACTACCAAAAAATGTGTGTGTCGACAACGGAGACGTGGCACAACTAGCTAAGAGATACGCTTAGTAGGTGGGTTGCTGATACTCCATGCCCGACTGCTGCTCCATGCCTGAAAGAGAAGCTATGCGGTTAACAATATTTAATAATAATCAATGTATAGAATATAGCTTACCCTGCTGTGGCTGTCCGAAAGGCGAGGCRCTRTACTGCTCATTGTCGTTGTCCATGGAGTAGCTGTAGGCCTGCTGGTGCACCACATTGGCCGGGTCTGTCTCAAAGGCCGAGGTGAACTCGTCGCCGGCGCCAATCAGAAAACGTTTGTAGGCCATAAATGCGCACAGAGCCTGCAGAGGATTTGAGACATGAGACTAGTTCAAGCAACTGGTTAGGTGATGCCACAACTCACCCAGCTRAAGATGTTGAAGAAACAAAACACAATGGCCGTCTTCATGCTGCCGGCGCCAATGCCTTGCGGAGGCATGGGTGCTGCGCTCCACTGGGACCACAAGTAGAAGAATGCAATGAAATACAAGAAGGCCCAAGCAGCTGCACAAGGAGACATAKACATGTAAGCAAAGRAACTAAAMAATCYTAAAGAGATTTGTGAGTCTCACCTGAGAATGCCATGTCGCCCATGACATAACGCTTTCTGCTCTTCACCGAGGACATGCGCTCGAACATGAACTCGCCGCCAATGAAGTACATGGAGGCGAGAAATCCGAAGATGCCAATGGTATTGCCATATTTGCAGGCCATGCCATCGTTATTGTACAAGCACATTTCCTTGCCATCCTTCTCGACCCAGCCCTCGGAGGATATGCAGCCAAAGACCACAATGGAGAACAGCTGATTATTAAATAATGGTAAAGTAAATAAATTTAACAAGTATACTAAAAATTTTAATACGATCTGATACACACAGTGCGTAATGAAATATATATATAAATATATGTATATGTATAGGTATTGATTTCAAAGAGCAGGTGCAATAAACCAGAAGTTCAAGTACACTCACAAACACACGTAAAGAGATAGAGAGAGAGAGAGAGAGAGGGAGAAAGACGTATTTAGGTTTGTGACCCAATTTTAAGTGAAGGCCAAGTTTAGCGAGCATAAGCAGCGCCTGGGGATAGGCAATGCCAACTGCAATAACAAAGCAGGTCCTTGGCTAAACTTGGCCAACTGACAGAAACCCCCCCACYGCCCGTCACCAACTGCCTTGTATTATGTTATTCTTGTTTAAATATAGCTTACAAGTGTGAGTGTGTGTGTGTGAGCCTCTGTCAGCACAAATTGCTATTAAATGTAAACGAAAGCAAACCATGCTTCTAAATGACTATTAACTGTTTTCTATCCTCAGTTGCCAATGGCCGCTATGACGCACTAGCTGGCCATTACACATGGCGATTGTTGTTGCTGGCCATTGATGGCCTTTATTTCAAATTTTCATAGTCGTGCGACTTTTAGTGCCAGCTGCACAGCTGTGTCTCTCGTCATTGTTAATTGTTTYAATTCTATTAACTTGCAAACAAAATCAAATTTTAATCAATTCCCATGAGAAACAAATATCTCTTAAGTATGTACAATTTATATGTGTGTATGCATATAAATTTAAATTGATCGCATTTTTAAAAAGGAACTGCAAATGAAATTTCTTTGCTTTTATTGGTAGTTAAAATTCTATGCCATTTGGGATTTCCTGCATAACTTGACAAAGCAGCCTCGCTTATATCCTGTATTCACTCATGCGTGTGTGTGTGTGTTTATGTGTGTGTGTCTGTGCTTTATTTAACTTACCCAACAGAGGGCGCGTATGACTACTTGAGGCTTCATGGCAAACGTTACCGGATCGAAGGCGCCACCCGCCTTGCCACCGCCATAGGCGCCACCAGCATTAATGTTGAGTATTTGATTGAGCACATCCATTTCGAACGCCTAACACTTCCTTTTTTGTATAAATATGTATATAGATATTTCTAAGTGTAAATTTGTATATATTTATATGTAATTTTCTTTTTCTTTATCGTAAGCTGCGCAAACTTTATTCAGTCGTAAGTATTTCCTTCTTCTTTTTTTGCGTTTTTCACGTCTTGTTGTGAAAAATCGAATGCTTCTTACTATGCCAGCTCAAGGGCAAAGCGGGGGCGTCTTGGTCGTGGCGTTTGCAAGTATATGTGCGACTGTCCGTATACACACTAGCTGAGTATGAGTGTGTCTGTGTGTGTGTAGTATATCGCAATTATAGATTACAGCACAATGGAAATAACTCAGCGCTGTGTGGCAATGGTTATGCCTGTGCTCACGTATTCCTGGCTCTTGTGACACACGCGCGCGCCAAAGCCGCAAAGAATCGCAACTGATATTTGAAATTCACACAAACGAACGACACGCAGACAAGCTAGATTTTATTTATCATGCATAATTAATAAATATTTCACACGAAATTCAAGGGCCCGATTTTCACTTTTACTTTTCTCACACAACGGCCAACGCGCAGGACTAACAGTAAACTGACTGTAACGTCCTGTATTCGCTCTCAGTGTGATTATGTGCAATGGGCTTGTGTGTGTGCGTATACGTGTTTGTGTGTGTGTGTGGTTGAGTTAATCTAACTGCTAAACGCTAAGTGTGGCGCCTTTATCGATAGATTCTAAACTATCGGTATTCAGCTGCTATTCGAATACTGTAAGCAAACTAACTAACGCTTTGCAGCACTGGCCAATTTAAATGCGAATTGGCGCGTTAGAATTTATTCATCAATTTGGCGCCAATAGAGTTGCTTATGAGTTTTAACTCTTTCAATTTCTATATTAATAAAATTCCAAGTGTATTAAATTTATTGTGTCAATGCATTGCCCGTTTTTATGCCGGAACTTAAAGAAAAAAGGAGCAAAGGAATCTCACCAGTCTCCTTCCAGCTCTGCGCACCATCAGCGGAATTGGTTAGGCGAATTGGTCTTCAGTTGCTTGGAAACTGTGCCATTAGATCCGAATGAAACTCCCTACTATAAGAAATATACCCGCAATTTAAGCAACAATTCAAGACCTGTTCTGCCCAGCTGGCTGATAGGGCCACAACAGCGAAAATTAAAAAAAAATGGCATCAATCAGGTGTACAACTACGTGCAATCTGTCAATCTTATACCACTTCATCAACAAGGACCACAAACAGAGGGTGAAAAGTATATGGATAAGAAAAAAGAGATACAACGAGCATACCGAATTATTCCGCCATTCTCGAAGCAAAAGAAAGCAACAAAAATCGGCAAAGATCCAAATGTTGATAGTTTCGCATATAAGAAGAAAAATATACAGCCTTTCTCGAAGCATACTACACAAGATAAATCTGAAGACTCGAAGTCAAGCTCCAGCTCAATTCCAAAAGATAAAAAAATTAAAAATATCGTGAGAGAACTACGGCAAATAAATAAAAAACAGCCAGAACGTTTATACTATAAACCTTTTTCAACCTACAAAATTAGGCAATTAAGAGATAAAGAAGCTGAATATAAACATTATCACCGTTACTCAAACCAGAGAAAAATTAATGCCAATCTCCAAGAACTAAAACTTCTACAGCTATGCAATTCGCAAATTTGTGCAAAGTCAAATAAAAACAAACAGAAGTCGAAGGCGAAGCATATAGAAGACAATAAACGGAAGAATGTCATGAAAATGAAGAAAAATAATAATAAAAAGGAAAAGGAAAAGAATAAAGAAAAGAATTCAGCACGAATTGAGGCACCAGCCAAAATCAAGCAAAGTAGTTCTAAAACAAGTCAATGTGCTGAAACAAAGGTAAAACTTAAATCAAAATCAAATAATAGAAATATTAAGAAAATTAAACACAAAGCGAAGAACATTCAACCTAAGTTAGAAAATTTGTCGCAGGATAAAAACTCAGATGAGCCAACGAAATCAACTCATAATATTCTATCAGTCAATAAAAAAAAGAAGAGAAGTAAGCCAAAACTATTTCATTTAGATATAGCAGTACATCCTATCAAAGAGTCCAAGAAGAAGCCTAGACCCAAGGAAAAAAATGTAAGCCATCCGGCTGTTCAGATTCCAAAGAGTTTTCCAATAAAGCAGAATAATAAAATGAAGGAACGGAAGAGAAGTCATTTAAATAGGTTAGCAGCACAGGCGGCAAGAAACTATCTTATAAAGAAGATAAATGGAAAGCATAAAACAAATATAAAAAATTTAGATAATACAGTCATTAAGGTGCCAAAAAGCCATCAAACAAAGGGGACCAATGAAAAGCATAAAAGGAAATTAGATGGTACGACTGGAAAGAGACCAAAGGAGAAGACCAATAGAATGCAAAGAATTTTCGGAAATAGTTTGAACTATACGGATGAGGAGTTGCTCAGGAAGTTAAATCATTTAAGAAGGTTAGCTAAATTGAACTTGGCAAATTCTGCGATGAAAGAGACAGATAAAACAAATGAAATGAATGGCGAGGATGCGACTACTGAGCTGCCAGTGGTGTATCCTCTAAAGGGGACAAATAGTAAGGATGAAACTCGAGTGAAGTATGTGGGTGATGGTGTTTCTAAGCTGCCTACAAAAACGGACAATAAAATGGGTAAGGAGAAGAGGACAGATAGAACCGATAAAGTCCAGTTCAACGAAACGACTACAGATCAAACAAAGAAAATTCGTATAGATAATGCGACTACTGAGCTGCCACTAAAGAAGGTCGTTAAACACGTTAAAAAGAAGAAGAAAATTGAAACCAATAAAGGTAAAGTTCAGATAAATGAACACCGATACAGTACGACTATCATACCAAGTTCACACAGCCTTAAGCCAGATGATCGGAAATCATCAAGATCATCGATATCATCGATAATCTCAAAGGAGTTAATCAAAAGGCAAATATCCCAAGATCGCAGAATGGAACCCAGATACAAAGAGTATTTAAAGAAACTCAACGTTTACGATAACTATACGGGTACAATGCCTTCGAATGCAATTAGTGCTCTTTCGATTGCCACCAGTGGGACATCAAAGTCGATGGCCCTTTCCAATGATAGTAGAAGTACAGCTAAGCTTGTGCATGAGCCAAAATACGCTATTTCACTCTATGGACCACTTCCAAACATTGAAGCCGATGGATCAATCAAAGTTTCCTCCGTACCCAAGAAGAAAACTTTGAATGTTGCTGAGCAAGGGGTTTACGAATTTCGAAATCTCTCCCAATTTAACCCGAATTTAAGCAAAAGCAAAAATAGAACAATGAAGCGGAACCTCCGGAAGGAGCCTATTTATACGACAAACGAGCCTGTGAATTCGACTGAAGTGCCACGCTTACATGTCCATCAAGCTAAAGAGGAACAAAAGTACGAAAAGAGTCGTTCACAGTTAGAATTGCATATAAGAGAATTGCTGAAAATAGTTGAAACTCGCGACGATTTGCCGGTGAAGAAAACACCGCGAAACTTTGTGCTGGAGGCCCAAACGAAGTCTTGGCCAACCAAACGATCAAACGATCGAATCAAGAAACCAGTCAAGCACAAGAGATTCGAATTATGCACAAAAATGGAAAAAATATATGTTCCCGGAAGTTCCAAACCGATTTTCGTGCGACGTTACTGCAGAAAGCCGCTGCCGACGCCGCCGCCGTCAGAGTTGCCAGATGTAGAGCCCGCGAAGCCTCCATATGAGACCTGCCAGACCTTTGACCTGAGCAGGACGGAAGACGACCCGCCGCTGATCAGAGAGATGAAGGCCGCATGGAACAAAATACAGCTGAGGAACTACTATCGTTTCATTATACGACGCAACGAACGGGACAGCAAGGGGCCAACTCAGTGCGGGAACAAATGCTCGCACAATCATTGTAGTCATATAATGTGTTCGTGAATGTATATAAATGTTATAAAGACACATATATATAGACTTCAGATAGTATTGGTGGGCTGACAGTTGATCTGTGAACACATTATAAATGTGGACATAGCTCAGCTGACAATCGACCAATATGTCCTTACCAAGTATATATGTATATGTATATGTATATGTATATGTATATGTATATGTATATGTATACGTATATGTGTATGTGTATGTAAATGTATATGTGTATGTGTATGTATATGTATATGTATATGTATATGTATATGTATATGTATATGTATATGTATACGTATATGTGTATGTGTATGTAAATGTATATGTGTATGTGTATGTATATGTATATGTATATGTATATGTATATGTATATGTATATGTATATGTATATGTGTATGTGTATGTGTATGTGTATGTATATGTATATGTATAACTTAAGCAACATATACATATACATCTATATACATACATATATTTATATATTGCTCATATTGCATATAATCTGTTTTTAAATTATTTAACGTGTATTTTATTTGCGTATAAACAACATGATCGACTTCATAAATGCATTGCTGGCTTTTAATTGGATTATCTCAATTTTCCCCATCTATTCGTTCTTGAAATTGGCAGGGCGTTTCTCGACGAAGGCTTGCATGCCCTCCTTGCGATCGGCCTATGAATCGGAAGAGGAAAAAATGTTTATATAAAATTTCGAGTGTTACGYAATCAATCAGTCCGCTTACCGTCGAGAATGTAGCATGGAAGGTGCGACGCTCAAACTTGAGACCCTCTTGCAGAGTGGTTTCGTAGGCAGTGTTGACCGCCTCCTTGCACAGTTGCACAATCAGACTCGAGTGTGTGCCGATTTTCTCGCCCAGCTTGATGGCCTCGCTGACCAGTTGATCGGCTGGCACAACCTTGCTGACCAGACCGACCTTCTCAGCCTCCTGGGCGTTTATCATGTTGCCGGTGAGGCACATTTCCATGGCCTTTGATTTGCCAACCACGCGGGTCAAGCGCTGGGTGCCACCTGCTCCGGGAATGGTGCCCAATGCAATTTCTGGCTGACCAAACTTGGCCTTCTCGCCGGCATAGATGATGTCACACATCATGGCCAGYTCACAGCCACCGCCCAGGGCGTAACCATTGACAGCAGCAATGATTGGCTTCTGGGTGCGGGCCACCTCAGTCCAGTCGTTGAGGAAGTTGCCTTGAATGCACTGCGAGTATGTGTTGGGTGCCATTTCCTTGATGTCAGCGCCAGCTGCGAAGGCCTTCTCGCTGCCAGTCAAAACAATGGCGGCGATGTTGCTGTCCTTGCCGTATCCCTTCAGGGCTGTGGACAGCTCCTGCATGAGACCGTTGCACAAAGCATTCAATGCCTTGGGGCGGTTCAACGTGATAACAGCGACATTTTTCTTCTCTCCCGTCACTTCGGTCTTAATGAATTCCCAGTTAGCAGCTGCAGAGTGAAAGAGAAGGCAARCAAATTGATATCAGACAAGTTACATAATCAATGTTTTTTTTTTTCTTTTGCTTGTCCACAGCTTGTGGAAAGTAGTGGGCAATGAAATAGATGCGCCATAGTTCTAATTAACAGGTTCTGGCAACGTGGACTTTGTACTTCATCCGACTTTGTGGGTGGAATATACTCACAGGTGCTGCTGAAGCGAATCGCCACTTGTGGCTGACGGGCGGCGGCCTGGACCAAAGTTTGTGCGCGCACAGTAAACAATTTTGCAATGTTGGCCATTTTAACACCTGTTTTGCATATAACAAAGTTTATTTGCTATGATCAAGGAATATTGATTTAACTATATGATACTTACGGTGTGAATGCTGGAGCAGGAGTGTGGCGTGTGTAGCGATCGTGCGATGCTCTGTGCCGACTGGAAAGTGGCGATGGGCCAGAACTCACGCAGAAATAATCGAAATTCGTTCCAGTCTTTTCGTAAATACCGCTCTCAAAAGTATAAATACGAATCGCGTGTTATTGTCCATCTTAAGCGTACAGTGGACATATTAAGCTAAAGAGCACTAAAAATTTTGTAACACGTAATACAATTTATAAACAAGTTAAGATGTAACTTAACAAGTTGTATTTTTAAGAAATAAAATACAATTCATTTTTAGCCACTATTAATTTATTAATAA